TTTTTTTTTTGCGGAACCAGGGATTGAACTCAGGCGCTTGCACTTGCCAGGGAAGTGTTTATTCTACTGAGCCATCTCCCCGGTCCCTAGATTTGTTTTTTTTTTTTTTTAACTCAACATTAGTGTTTTTGCTTTGCTTTTTACAGAATTGGAGATTGAATATATGGTATCATGAATGTTGGCAAGTGGTTTACCACTGAGCTATAACCCCAACCCTTTTAAACATTTTGGTTTGGAGGGTGTCTTAGTTACTTTTCTCTTACAGATAGGACAAAATACCTGACACTCAAAGTTAAGGAAGGAAAGGTTTATTTAGCTCACAGTCCATGGAGGTTTCAGACCATACTCAGCTGACTCAAAGGCAGAGTAGCCTATAGAAGAGGGCAACCATTCATGGTGGTAGAAAATGGCAAAGAGCAAAAGGGAGGAACGATGGCAACAGCAGCAACAGAAAGCAAGCCTGTCTCCATTCAGGCTATCTGCCCCAGGCCAGGTGTAACACTTACGTTCATAGTCCCAGCAGTACTCACACCCATAATCCTAGCATCATTTACAGCCATAATCCCAGCACTGGTTCATGAATTAATCACAAACTCTAGAAATCTACCCCACAACTGCATGAGGCTTTGGGGGAACAACTAGACACAAACCATAACAGAGAGTTTGTCTTGTTTTGTCTGCAGTATAAGGGATTAATTCCAGGAGTTTAGCACTGAGCTACATCCCCGCCTTTTTTATTTAATCTTGAGAGTCACTCTAAGTTGCTAAATCATCCAGGGTGGCCTGAACTTGCAACGCTCCTGCCTTAGCCTCCCAAGCACAGTAGCTGGCATCACAGACCACCATGCTTGCCTCAACATGTTTCTGAGTTTTATCCATGGAGATACATGAAACTCTACATTACCATTTCAACTGTTTGACCTTACCACCGTTGACAAACCAAGTCTGTACGCATCTCTTTCTCTGTATGTGGAAGAGCAGCTCTGATACACACAAATAAACGTTTTAAACCAGAGATCTAATCTCCCCTGGTTTAGAAACATTCAACAGGCCCCCATGAACTTGTGAGAAAGTCTAACCTGTTAGAAGCCCCGCCCCCCAGGGGTGAGGGCGTGGCTCAGTAGTGGAGCTGAGCTCAGCAAGCCCAGTGAAGCTCCAACATTGTGGACGCGTGCCTGACATCTATCCTGGCTTCCTCTCCAGCCCCAGGACCCCACACTCCAGCTCCTGAGCTTTCCTCAGTGCTCTGCTACCCTTAGGGGCTGCCCAGCTTCCACGTTCTTTCTTCCTCTAGACCTTGCGCTTCAAGAGGTTCTGCCTACAGATTCTGTCCTCCAGGTCTACACTACCAGGAGTGTGCTGCATGCCTATTGCACCCTTCTCCATCTTCACGGTCTCAACTCTGCGTGCTACTTTCTCTCTGGTGTTCACACACCACTGATTTGCTGTCACTGCCCTCTCATCCACCACCTCCTTCTCCCACTGGAGTTTATCAGCCCAAGTTCACCAATTAACCCTTTGGCCCTCAACCTCTCTTTACTCCCAATCTTCCACTGACCTTATCTTGCCAACAGGTCTAGATTCTGGTTTTATGGAGCTGGAGCTTATATGATTTGGGGAGGAAAACAGTGCTTTTCATGAAATGAACACACATTTATGAATGTGAATTGCAGGACATTGCCAGGGTTTGACAAGTCTGGAAGCTACGTTATAAACCCACACCTGCCTGCAGTCTCAAAGCCCGCACACCTGCACTGCATACTTCATTTTCCCTCTGCTAGGGTTGCCTTGTGCTCCTCAAGGCGTGCATGCTCAAGGGTTGGGCTCCAGCCCCTTGCAATGTGGGAGAGGAAGTAGGCTTTTTAAGGGATGAGGCCTAGCCTGGCACATGTTTGTAATCTTATACTCCACAGGTAGGAGGTACAACGCTCTACAGTGCTCTGGGAGACCAAGGCACATAGATCTTGCAAGCCTGTCACAAAAAAAATAACATAGGATGGGAATGTGGCTCCCTGTGGTTGTGGGTTCAAGTCCCAATACCATCAAAAAATAACTTTTCTCCAAAGAGATCAGGGCTAACAGAAGGAAGGCAGGTCATGAAGAGTGTGCCCTGGAAGGGATATTGAGACCTAGCCCTTTCTCATGTGTTTCCAGCATGCCATGCAGTGAGCAGCTTCTTCTGTCCCTTGCTTGCCCCCATGCAGGCTGCCTCCCCACATCAGAGTAAATGACCTCAGGCTGAACTTTTCAACACAGCTAACCAAAACCTTCCCCCGCTCCCCGTACCCCCCCCCTTTTTTTCAGTTAAAGTCTCACTATGCAGTCTAGGCTGGACTCCCGCATGAAAATCCTCCTGCCTCTGCTCCCCTGTAGCTGGGATTACAAGCATGCATTACCATGCCCAGCATCTTTCTTTTCATTGATTTTAGATATATGTCACAGTGATGAAAAGTTATCAAACTCAAAAGCTACCATCAAGTACAAAATTCTGTAAGACCACCTCATCACACTACTCAGCAATAACCCATTTTTGACTGTATATTTTGACAGCCTAAATTATCCCTAAGTCCTGAAATTCTAATTCTTTTCAGCAAAAAAAATCCAAAATTTCATATCCAAGAAATATCCAAAAATTAATCTTTTACAGAACCAATTTCACATCATTTCTTGAGACAGACATAACTGTCATTCCCATTTCATAAATAAAAGAACTGAGTCAAATGTAAGCTGACTTACTAAACTAAAGGACAGTAATCTACAGATGGAAGAGCCAAGTTTCTGGCCTCAAACTCACACCCTCCTTTTAAATTCTGCAACAAAAGCCAGTGAGCTAGCTCAGCAGACTAAGCACCTGCTTAGGAAAGCTCAGGGATCAGGGTTTGATCGCCAGAACCACGGGCTGCAATGGCCCTGACCCCTCGTGCGCTGAGCCTGCCGCTGAGACCGGGCATGGTGGAACACGCCTGCAATCCCAGCTCTGGTGAGGCTGAAAACAGGAGGATTACTATGAGTCTGAGCTGCATAGTGAGACCCTGTAGCAAATACATTAAATCAATCAATCCTGCAATTCTCAGGGGTTGGACTGAATTGAGCCCAGTCGGGGGGTGGCACACGACTTGGACTATCAGCTTCCTAAAATGGCTTTTGCCCACCTGAATAGGGTTTTATTTTGAAGGAGGCATATTTGTGGAGCAGGATGCTCTAAGGTCAGGATAAGACTGCATGGCTGAAGAATTTTCTGGCCCAAATAAGAAAAAGGAAAATACTGGTTCTGAAAAATAGCCAGCTGAGACGTTCAGGCGCTGTTTAAACCTACAAGATTTCTGACATAGAAAGGAAAAGGTTCGATAATTGGGAAAAAGAATGAGATCCACTATACTCATGGATTTTTTTTTTATAAGGAGTAGACCAAAATTAGTTACCAATGTACAGAATAGTTTTCCTGAATAAAGAGATTAGTGGCACTAAATACAATCTACATTACAACCCCACTTTTTCCAATGAAGTGCAAGACACATTAAGATAACTACTCTGCGTGCTTACTCGGCTTTTCGGGCCTACAGTAAGGCCAACGGGTGGAGACAAACCACCACCTAAACTGCTAATTTGCTTTGTAAATAGCGGCAGCAGAGGTCTCGCTGCACTGACAGCCATCAGGGCCAGAGAGTGGAACGATACCCACGAGGAATCCGCGGCGGGGTCCACGGGGGATCGCGTCTCGGAAGCCACGGGGCAGGAGGGCGGGGGCTCCCGCCGCACCCCACCTCCCCCCACCCCCTCCCCCCACCGCGCGCTTGATCCCCATCACGCCCAGTCGCCCTCATCAAAGGCCCCTCACCTGCCGGCCGGCCCGCTCAGGCGCCAACTCAGCCGGAAATGGCCTGAGGCTCGCGGGAACGAGCGGAGCGCGTGCGCCGCGGCATCCTAGCCTGTGCGCGCCCTCTCGTGGCCACCCGGTGTAGTGGCTGGCGTTGGGTCGGTCGCGGAGCAGAGGCTCGCGAAGCCGGGAAGCAGGGCGTGCGGGTCCAGCCAGTGGGCCGGGCACAGCGGAACCACGAGCCCCGGCAGCCCCAGTCGGAGGCAGAGCTGAGCAAGGCGTGGACAGGAAGCTGCTTCTACAATGACCCACACAGCAAGCTGGCTCTACTGAACACCCAAGCTTCTCTTAGTTCATTGAAAAGGTTTGTGCTAATATTGTTTGAACAAGGTATTGTACCTGTATCGTGTACTCTCAGTAACTACTACGAAGACATTGTAATTCTCACCTATTTTGAAATTGGTTTGGTGTTTTTGTTTTGTTTTGGGTTTGTTTTTGGTTTGGTTTTTTTTGTTTGTTTGTATTTTAGGGAAGGGTCTACAGGGTGTTCAGGGTCTCACTTCTAGATCGGACTCGTAGTGATCTGCCTGTTTACAGCCTCCCAAGAGCAGGGATTACAGATTTATGCCACCATGCCCAGTCTCAATCGCCTTCTCAGCGCGACTTGGGGGTGGGGCCGGCATGGCAGCCTGGGATGAAACCCCGGCCCTTGAGCCTGCTTGCAGGCATTTTAATCCCCGCTGAGCTATTTGGCCAGCACGGCCTGGCACATGCTCACTCTTGGTTTACTGTTTTTTGGTTTGGTTTCTCTTTTTTAAAAAAAAAAAAAGTAAACCAAGAGCGAGCATGTGCAAGACTGGGGTTCCAGGGCCGCACAACAAAACGGAGACAAAACCTAGGAGCACCGCGAGCTGTCAGACAGGTAGGAACGTGGACTTTCACCGCCCCTGGATAAACTGCAAGAATCTGTCCATACGAGCCCCTCCTTTGGGCCCGAGCTAGGAACTGTGTAGTTGACACATGCACAAGAGAGCTTGATGCACCAGCGGGATAAATGATATGTATAGTAGGAATCCAAAGAATATGCTGTAACAGGAATGGGCTAAGATAGCTACATACAAAGAAAACAGCACTCAAGAAAAAAAGTGTGGGGCTGAGAAGATAGCTCAGTGGAGTAAGTGCTTGCCTTGCAAGTGCAAGGTCCTGAGTTCTATCCCTGGTACCACCAAAGGGGGGGAGCGCAACTCAAGACTTCATAGTTAAGCTTAGAAATAACAGTAGTGAACACTTGAGAAAACTTGGAAAATTAAAAGTAATGATTCCCTTCCTTTGAACCAGCTAACTTAGTAGTTATCTTCAGACCAAAACTACAAAGCTTCCCACGGGCTGCTTATCTGTATGTGTGGCCACAATACAGAAGACAACTGGGCATTCCTATTTGCACAAACCACTCACGGTGGGCACTCACGTTTTCCAGGTTTCCAATAAACACCCGCTTTTTGTCTGCAATGTTACTGTTTCGTGAGCCAAAGAACTCTAGTTTACGTACAACTAACTTCTTGTGTGACAATAGATTTCTGAAAAGAAATCCTATTACAAGCCAAAAAATAAGGCTAAGGAGTCAGAATTTCAGTTTAAAAACTTGTAACAGTTGTGGAGATGGGTGGCAGTGTTGCACATGACTACCTAATGCCACTTACCTGTTTAAAATGGTTTGAAGAAGTTGTTTTGCTTATTTTACAATTAAAATTGGTGTGCAAGGGTTGGAGAGATAGTTCAGGGGTATAAGTGCCTGCCTGGCAAAGGCAAGATCCTGAGCTCAATCCCTGGTACTAAAAAAAAAATAAATAAAGTCCTAAAACTGGTGTCCTACGTATTGACATGAAACAATGTTTGCAACATACACCTTAGAGCAAGGAATCAATCCCATTTTTAAAAATGTATTTATAACCATATACATAGTTTAATAAACAGGATTGGGAGCAATGTATTTGCTTATGTGTATTTGTGTAATTAACATAGATGACCCCAACAGGAATATGTGACATGTATAGAAATCTATTAAAACATATCTACTCAAACAAATTTATTAAATACTTTTTAAAAAGACAAGGAAGATAGGTCAGATGTGAAAACTTTGAATGCGAGATCTATGAAGAAAACAGGAGTTGAAAATTTACTAGATTCAGGAAATTAAGTAGGTGATGTCAGTTTTGTGACACATTTTAAAGACACATTTATTTTGATATGAGAGAACAGTAACACAAATATGCCATTTATTGATGTGCAAAAAAAATTTTTTTGAGACATAGTCTCACTATGTAGCCAGGCTGAGCTCGAACTCCACCAATCCTCCCAAGTGCTAGGATTACAGGTGTGCACCATCACCCTGGCTCACAGTAGACAATTTTATTGGGAGCACCAGGTGAATGCAGAAAACTGTAGCCAGCTGAGCCATGCTGCCCAAGAATACAAATCACACATGCATACCTGAACCTGTCACCATCTTCCCTTCATCATGTGTTATGAGCCACATCCATATACATGTTACTTTTCAAATTTCATATTAACTTCATTAGAGACTCATGAACCCTACCCTTGTCTTCTTCCACAAGCAAGTTTGAGTCTTTCTCAAGATAAAGTGCCACACTTACCATCCTACACATTTCTTAAGCATTGATGTGTAAAAACTATGCTGTGATTTTTGACTGGGTTTTATCTTTTCTTGACTGATTAGATTTGTGGGTGTTACATCCCTAACCCTATTTTTACTATAGCCCTGTGGTTCTTTAATTATGATTTTACACAGCATGAATCTTAACACACTCACCGTGTTCTAACAGAACTGCTGAACTGGGCTGGGGATAATAGCTCATTGGCTTGCCTGTCTGGCAAGTACAAGGTCCAGAGTTTGGTCCCCAGTACCACAAAAAATAAATAAAATAAATATCTCAGAACTGCTGCACAAGGATTTCAGCTGAGTTTCAAAGTGAGCAAAGACATATTTTGAGTTTGAAATGGAGTGGTGCTTCAGCAGACTTCTGTCTGTGGGACAGGCAGATTCCCCACATGCGGGCATCACCTGCCCAAAGGACACTGTGATGCTCAAAATAAGGACCTCTCAAAGGGAGGACACACAGAAAAGGGAAGAGAAGGGAGTCTGAGCATGTAGAAATTCTGATCTAAGGAAAGAAAGGAAAGCTGCAAAAAGCAAAGAACCTGTAAATGCCAATAAGGCAGAGATTTCGAGAAGGCTAAGAGAGATCACTTCCTGGTAAGACATATATATGCAAACCTTCCTCTCCAAGGAATGCAAATTTACCATCTACACAGAATTCCTGATAAAGTTATTTGCAGTGGATCAAGACCAAAAGCTGCAGGAGCCAGCACTGAGGGAGGGTCCTCCCCTCCACTCACTAGGGTTCGCATCCGAAGGGCAGAGACCAACTCTGCACCGTCTTCTGCTTTCTCGTTGTGGCACAACTGGGCCGGGATGTGGCTGGGTGGAAGTTCTCTTGCCTCTCATTGTTGTGGCAGAACTGTGAAAGATCGTGCAGCTCCAGGTATGAGGTTTCTGTACAGAACTGAAAGAGGAACCCCAGAGAATGAAAAGGAACTGAAAAGCAAGAAATGAGGCCAGCACCCCACAGTTATTTATGAACACTTGGGCTCACCCTGACCTGCACATTATGGGCTCCAATTAGCACTGAAAGGCTTTGACAGAGGTGGTAATGGACAACTGCTGCGTTACATATGAGACAGATACAAAGAGCAACGCAAAGGTTTTAAAAGTAGAACTGGCTTTGGAACATAGCCCACAGAAGGATGTGTGAAGCTTGCATTGAGTGGTTACAATCACCGATCTCTCAGGGTTTACGCAAGCATTAGAATTGGGGTTTTTGGGGATCTGTTGTTGCTTTGAGACAGGGTCTTGCTATGTAATTCAAGTTGGACTTGAATGCACTATTGTAATCCAGGCTGGCCTCAAATATGCCATAATTCTCCTGCCTCAACTTCCCTAGTGATGGAATGATTACAGGTGTGCACGACCATGCCTGATTTAAGAATTAGTCTTATAATAGTGTTCAAGATGCAGTCCTATTAGGTACATGAAGTATCACAAGAATCTCAACTAACAGGAAAAGATAATCAGTAGTCACCAATGAGAGAACACAGGGGCTGGAATTACTTGATACAGATATTAGTTACTGGGGCTGGGGAGATGGCTCAGTAGAATAAGCGCTTGCCTGGCAAGTGCAAGGACCTGAGTTCAATCCCCAGTTCCACTAAAAATAAAAAAAATAGTATCAGTAAAAACAAAGACATATAATCAAATCTCACACCTAGACTCACTGGACATATCTGAGAGCGGAATAGAATGATGAAGTGAAGAGAGATTAATAGAAATTATTTGAACTGATACACAGAAAGAGACAGACACTAACAGAACCTCAAGCACTTGGGGGACATAACAAAAGGTTCCAAAATCTCAGAGACAAGAAAGTCATGGAAAAAAAAAAAAAACAATAATGAAAGCATTGAAGCAACCATGGCTAACAATTTTTCAAGTCTTGGCAGGGAGCCCTACAGATTAACACTGAGCAAGCCACAAACAGAGTAAATCCAGACATGTAAAACTAGATCAAAATCAAATTGCTAAAAACTAAAGACAAAAGAATTTTGAAAACAGCAAAAACAAAATGACATATAATCTGTAGGTGAACAACTATTCTAATGACAGTGTGTATCTCATCTAAACATCATGAAGCCTAGGGATAGTGAACATTTTTCAAGTGCTGAAAGAAAAAAATTGTACACCAGAATGCCATAGCCAGTGAAAATATCCCACAGGCTCTCAGATAAATGACTAGAGGTTTTGGGGTTGTTTTTTTCCCTTCTTCTAGATACTGTGGCTTGAACCCAGGATTGTTTCACCGAATTATATCCCCAGCCCTTTTTAAAATTTGAAGACAGGGTTTTATTCAATTGCCTAAGCTAAACTAGAACTTGTAATCTTCCTGCCTCAGCCTCCCACAGTACTGTGACAGAGTGTGCTACTGCACTTGGGGAAAGAATGACAGTTTGTAGCCAGCAGACCTACTCTAAAAGAATTGCTTAAGTTCTTCAGGAAAAAAAAAAAAAAAAAGGAGTATCAAAAGTAAACTTGGAGCATCAAGAATAAAACATAACAAAACACGAGTATGTGGGTGACCAAAAACAGTTCTGAGAGGAAACTTCATAGTATTAAATGCTTGTATTAGGAAACAAGGGGTTGACAACCAGCCAAACATCCATTTTAAAATATTTGAGAAGACCAAAGTCAACCAATTCAAATAGGAAGGGGAGGGCCTGGGGGTGTTGTTCAGAGGCACAGCACCTGCCTGGCAAGTAGAAGGCCCTGAGTTCGATTCGCAGAACACCCCCCCCCAAAAAAAAGGACGAAAGGTAATAAAATATGGAAGCTTAAGTTAAAGAAATAACTTTCTCTTTCATTAAAAAAACTGGTTGAAACGCTCTCATTTGCTGTAACTGTCCATTAATGGGTTACAAGTAAGCCTGAAAAAGATTTTTTAAAAATATGACTTCCATAAGAAAATATTGTGAAAAAAAGAAAATACTGCAAACTTCCCCACTAATTTAAATTTAATATTTGCGATACTACCAATTATAAAGCTAAGTTTAAGGCACCACTAAGGACTAAAACTTGTCAAGCCCCTCCTTTGTGAACGTGACTCATCAAGCAGATCAGACTTTCTACTTCTGTTTCCAAATGTGACCTTAAAGAACCAAGACACTGTTATCCTGAGGCAGTGGACAGAGATGCAGTGTTGTTAGGTTCAAGAGTTTCCAGATGATAAAAGAGGCAATGAAGCAATAAACCCATTATGTGTGACCAAAAATAACTTTTTGTGAAAGTCACATTAAAAAGAAAAAAGTGGCATTGTTGCCAGATGTGGCAGTGCACACCTGTAGTCCCAGGAAGCTGAGGCAGGAGGATCTCAACTGTGAGGCCAGCCTGGGCAATTCAGCAAGACCCTGTCTCAAAATGAGTAAGGGTTAGGACATAATTCAGTAGTACAGTGTTTGCTCAGTATGCTTAAGGCCCTCATTCGATCCACCACACCACAAAAACAAAACAAGCAGGCAAGGCGCCACACACCCAAAATCCCAGCATTTGGGAGGCTGAGGCAGCAGGATCACTATGAATTTGAGATCAGTCTGAGCTACATAGCCAAGACCTCGTCTCAAAACAACAAAGACAATACTTTTCTTAACAAAAAAGGACAAAAAGCTCTATTTCACTGATTACTTTGCAGTCAAGTTCCACATACCTTTTCAGTTCTTCACCATCTACCAGGTACAATACACTGAGCCTTTCTTTCCTTTGGAACCACATCACACAGGAGGGTCAAGGTGTGCTTATGGGAGGGTGGCAGAGGGGACACCATGCTGCACTTGGCAGCCAGGCTGTGGCTTCCTCACTCTTCCTCATTCTTTGACTTCAACATAATGCCAGTCAGGTGACAGCCCATTCTATGCCATAGTTTTGGGGTGCACTTTTATAAGATGAAACAGTTACTCTGTGAGTATCTATAGACCTGAAACCATAGAGTTTACAATATCTTGAGTGGACTCTGCTTGTAAGAACAATTCACATATTCATAGTTAACATTTCTTTTAATTATGTTTGTGTTTTTCAGTTTTATAGAAGTATTTTCAACTGTTTTCCTACACTGAGACAATGTCCTTTGTAGGTAATTAAATGCTATTAAAAAATCAAACTACTATGGTAGTTTAGATATATCTGTGATTTTATTACAAAACCACTGTTTTGGCATTAGTTGGTTACAGTGATAGCTACATTCTGTGAGTGTGGCATGGCAGCTCTGGCGGGACCACTGGACTCCCAACTTACTGAGCCAAACTTCAGTTACCTCAACTCTACTACAGACAAGCATCCTGTACTCATTACAGATGCAAAGCAAGTAGATTAAATGTTGATAAAACTACAAAAGTAGTGGTTCCTTTCAGGACTTTTTAATTCCCCCTCCCTCCAATTACTTTGCTTTAAAAGAACCA